AAAAAAAAAAAAAAAAAAAAAAAAAGGGTCGTGCGTGCAGCAATGAAGACCCGGAGCAGACAAAATTAAATAAATAAGTAAATATTAAAAAAAAAAAAAATAAAGTGTACAGTTCAGTGGTTTTTAGAATATTTAGCATGGCGCAACCATCGCTGTAATCAACTTTAGAACATTTTCATTGTCCCCTAAAGAAGTCCCGTGTTCTAAATTAGTGATCATGTCCCATTCTCCCCACCCACCTCAGCCCTAGGCAACCACTACTCAACTTTTCTGTCTCTATAGATTGGTCTTTTCTGCTTATTGCATGTAAATGAAATCATGCAATAGGAGGTCTGTTGTGATTGGCTGCTTTCACCTATGTAGCATTTTCAATGTTCATTCCTGTTACAGCATGTATCAGTACTCCATTCCTTTTCCTTGTCGAGTAATATTCCATTGTATGTATATATCACATTTTATTTATCCATTTATCAGTTGGTGGACATTTGGGTTGTTTCCATTTTTAAGCTATTGTGGATAATGCTCTTACATACATTCATGTACAAATTTTTGCATGGATGTTGCCGGATCCTGAGATCATTTTTTTTTAATTGAAAGAATTTTTTTTTTCTTTTCCTTTTCACTCCCCAAAAATGATCCTTCCTGCCCTACGTGCAGAGACTCTGAGTTGGGAAATCTGGATGTGGAAGGCATTGGAGCAGAGATGAAATAGGTTCGGTGTGGTATTCTTAGAAGAATGGATTAATGTTAAATTTTAAGTCAATTGCTCTCTTATTAGTAAATGTCTACTATGTTGAAGAAAGTGTATTAGTCACAGTTGGTGAGTAGGGAAGGCACTGCAAGACCAGAGCCACAAGAAAAAAACAGGCAGATATTTTGCTGTAGAAAACTTCTAGTATTTGTTTAGGGAGAAAAGTCGTGGCCTTAAATCACACTAATCAGAAGCAAATGAGAAGTATTTTAGAGGAGTAAAGAGGTCTGTGAGTGTCCAGAGGAATAGACTGCCCACTTCTGGCAGAAACAGAAAATCCTTCCTGGAGGTGGTGACGGCTTCGAACTATACCTTCCAGGATGGAGTTTAGCTTGTAAAGTAGAGAGTGGGGAGTGGAGAAGGGGGAAGGCCTGATAAGTAATGTGAGTAAATGACTAACATGAGGAAAGGCTCAGCAGCCAGAAAACCTGGAACCTTCCAGAGGAAGGTTACTTTTCTGAGACCGTACCAACTTGAAGACGTCTGAATTATTCTAGCCTCACATTTAATTGCTAGTTTGGCTGGGTATAGTATTGATGTATGAAAAGCGTTTTTCTTCAGAATTTTAGAGGCATTGTTTTGTTTTCTTTTGGCATCCAGCACTGCTGTTGTGATCGCCCATGTCATTCTGTCTCTGAGTTCGATTTCTATATCATTTTCTCTAATATTTTGAGAACTGTTCTTCCCTTGGAATTTTGAAATTTCGCCTTGGTGTGAGGCTTATTATTTCTTGTGCCTGGCTCTTCGTGTGAATGTTCAGTGTGAAGGGCCAGTC